GGCCCGGTGGTGCAGCAGTTAAGTTCACATGTTCCGCTTCGGTGGCCCGGGGTTCGCCGGTTCAGATCCCGGGTGTGGACATGGCACCGCTTGGCAAGCCATGCTGTGGCAGGCGTCCCACATATAAAGTAGAGGAAGATGGGCAGGGATGTTAGCTCAGGGACACTCTTCCTCAGCAAAAAGAGGAGGATTGGCAGCAGATGTTAGCTCAGGGCTAATCTTCCTCAAGAAGAAGAAAAAAAAAGTTCTGATACATTACAACCTGAATGAAAACTGACACAACCTTGCAGCAGGTGTCAAAGTCTGACCCAGCAAATCGACTACCATGAATTTGTAAGACAAGAATCAGAGATGTGCACAAAACTTTAGAGTCAAGGATAATCATCAGAGAGGTATTTACAGTAGGGAAAAACTGGGAGCAATTTAAATGTCTAATGGCTTTAAAATATATCCACAAATTCTGATACTGCTCCTTTCAAAACGTAGGGCTTAATTCCCCTTCCCTTATGTGTGCACTGTACTTGGTGACCACATTCTAATGAACAGAACGTGGTGAAAATGGTAAGTGTGACTTCCTAGGGTAGGTCATGAAAGACATTGTAGCTTCTATCTTGCTCTCTCTGTTGGAATCACTTGTTCTGGGGGACGTCAGTTGCCATGTCACTCAAGCCCCTATAGAGAAGCTCATGTGTCAAGGAACTGAGACTTCTGGCCAACAGCCATGTGGAGTGAGCCACCTTGGAAGCACATCCTCCAGCTGCAGCCAAGTCTTAGGATGACGGCAACCCTGGGTGCCATCTGTATGCAATCTCATGAGACACTCTAAGTCAGAGCCACTCAGTTAAACCTCTCCTGAATTCCGGTTCCACAGGAATTGTTAATTAATCAATATGTTTTGTTTAAGCCAATAAGTCTTGGAGTAATTTGTTAAGCGGCAATAAATAACTAATACTTGCAGCAATAGAGGATGCATTAAATAGATTATGGCCCATCCATAAAAGTGTTAAAAATAACACTTTCCATATTTAATAGTGCGGGGAAATGGGCATGATAGGAATAAAGCCAGATATCAAAATGTATATGAAGCAAGAATGAAACATGAAACAAATATGCGCACACAGAAAAAAAAAAGTGCCAATGTATATTAAATGTAGTTATCTCTTTGTTATAGAGTTACAAGAATTTTTCTTAAAAATACTTTTTTAGTATTTTCCAATACAATTAATATATACCACCTCTAAAAGAAAAAAAACTGTTTGGTTTTTCACTGTCAGTTTATCAATCCCAATCCACCTACCCTCTCCTCACCCCAGCTCAAGGAGAGAGTAAGTATGCTGGTCAAGGAAAGGAAACCCAGAGTCTCCTCTTGGGACTTTCCCTGAAGCTTATGCGACCTCATTTAACATTTCCTTTTTTTTCCTTTGTGGTATAATTTCTCTTAGTGCAGGAGGGTAGCTTCCTAAAATCTCAAGCTGACCCTGGGAGTCTGCAGCCAGAGAGCCCGATGGTATCTATGGCTTTGCCATGACCAGAGGCAAGGACCCTGCTGTACTGGTCAGCTGTCCTCCCAAAGCTGTGGGTGCTGTCTTGCTAGTAGGTGGCACATGTGGGACTCTAGTCCAGTTCCAGAGTCTGTACCCTAAACCATACAGAGATGTCTCTGGGATATGACAAGCCCTCTGTCAGGGAGAAGTTAGCAAACGGATATGGACGTCCATAGGGGCAGAGAGATCTTTAAGGACCCAGGGCAACCTCAGACTTGAGTGAGTCTGTCCATACTACCATTCTGTCCTGGGTTGTGCTGGTGAGCTGTGAGTTTCCTGGAAATGTTTGGTTGGCTTTGATAGGCTCCCTCCTCTAACTTCCTTCTTCTGAGACTCCTCCCTTTTTTATCTGAAGGGACTTCTCTGTCAGAACCAAGCTTTAAAAGGACACGATCTACCTAATGCTCCTCCTCCACAAACCTGACCTGAAACCAAAGAGCTTATTAGTGCAACCCTACTCATCATCAAAACTCTGAGTAACTGCTACGCGGTTGGGGACTAGCTGAGTCTTACGAGTCCATCTTGGCAGATGGAATGATCCAGCTAGGCATACTCGTCATGCTCTATGAATTTAGGAAAACTGCAGTGTTCAGTCTCCCCCTCTTCCTTCCCCTCCATAACCCTCGAGCAAAGGAAGTGAGAAAGGCACCAACAATTCCACAGTGTCTATAATGGGCCTAGTACTGACCCAGACATGGCATTCATTTTATCTAATCTTCATAATAATCCATGAGATGGGTAGTGTCCTCTTCACCTGACAGATGACGGGCCAAGCTCAGAAATGGAGTAATTCGCCTAAGGCCCAACAGCTGGTGAAAGGCAGCTCCTCTGAACTCCGAAGTCCTCGTTCTCATCATAAGCTCCCTGCCTCCCTAGAACTCCCCCTTTCTGCCTTTGGGTAAACCCTATTTCTAAAAACTAAAGGTTAAAGACTTGATTTGAATGATCAAATATATACTAGGTAAACTTCATTCCAGTCAAAAAGCCCCAAAGGTATTTTTTAAATAACTCTTGTCTTTTGTGTGTGTGTGGGTGTGTGTGTAGAGAATTTGATTCCTCTGACACTGACGTAACAGATGCCAAACGTGGGCTGGCGATGGGTCACAGCCAATAACAGCAAAGAAAAATACGCAAACTATTTAAGCAGCAGCAGAGTGAAAAAACAAGCCTGATTCTGTGCCGAGCTAGAATTTAAACGCCAATCAACTTCAACACATAAACGTTCTCATTCAGAAATAAATCCCACTTGAGGTTTATCAAGGCACTGCCTGAAAGTGATCAGATTTTTTCAAACTTTGTTCACGTCTCATTTAACTGCTTATGCAAGTTGAAAGCCTTTGTTCCGAAATTTTTTTTTAAATTGTAGTTAACTTATAAAGCTTACCATCTTAAGTATACAGTTCAGGAATATTAATTACATTCACATTGTGTGCAACCAATCTCCAGAACTTCATTTTGCAAAACTGAAATGCTATACCCATTAAGCAACCACTCTCCAATGTCCCCTCCTCCCAGCCCTAACTACCGCCATTCTACTTTCTAAGAGTTTGACTACTCTAGATAGCTTATGTAAGAGAAATCATTCAGTATTTACTCTTTCCTCATCCCTTTGTGACTGGCTCATATCATTTAGCATAATACCCTCAACGTTCATTCATATTTGTAGCATGTGTCAGAATTTCCTTGTTTTAAGGCTGATTTGATATTCCATTGTATGTATATATCACATTTTGTTTAGCTATTCATCTGTTGATGAACATTTGGGTTACTTCCACCTTTTGGCTACTGTGAATATGGCTGCTATGAACATGGCTGTACAAATATCTGTTCAAGAGCCTGGTTTCAACTTCTTTGGGTATATACCCGGAAGAGGGATTGCTGGACCACATGGTAATTCTATTTTTAATTTTTTTTCCCTTCTTCTCCCCAAAGCCCCCGAGTACATAGTTGTATATTTTAGTTGTGGGTCCTTCTAGTTGTGGCATGTGGGTATGCCACCTCAGCATGGCCTAATGAGCGGTGCCATGTCTGTACCCAGGATTTGAACCAGTGAAACCCTGGGACACCAAAGTGGAGCATGTGAACTTAACAACTCAGCCATAGGACTGGCCCTATTTTTAATTTTTTGAGGAACCAGTTTTCCATAGTAGATGCACCATTTTACACTGCCACCAATAATGCAAAAAGGTTCCAATTTCTCTACATCCTTGCCAACACTTTTTTCTTCTCTCCAAAGCCCCAGTACATAGTTGTATATCCTAGTTGTAAGTCCTTCTACTTCTACGTGAGCCACCGCCACAGCATGGCAACTGACAGACAGGTGGAGTGGTTCCACGACTGGAAACAAAACTGGGCCACTGAAGCAGTGAATGCTAAACTTTAACCTCTGGGACATGAGGGCTGGTTCTTGCCAAAACTTTTAAATTTTTTGATAGCAGCCATCCTAATGAGTAGTGAGTTTGCCTTGAATTTTCAAACTATAGAAGTAAATGTGTACAAAGTAAGTGGGTGTGATTTGTTAATACACTTAGAATAGTATATTACAGAGTAAACTCTCTATCAAATTTGTTAAAGAAAGGCACAGATCAGCAAAGTTTATAAGCTGGAAAGTCTTAATTTTACAAGTTATATGATTATATATGGTAATGGCTTTCACAGAGCTCTCAAGAAAACGCTGCGTAAGTACCAAGAAGAGGCAACTCAAGCTTTGAGGGAAAGCTTCCCTTGTGCTTTGAGCTTGACAGATGAGTAAGGGAATGACATTCCATACACAAGAAGAGCAGGTTCAAAGGCATGAAAATGTAAAAGGAAAAATTTAAACTCTATCACTGAAGGTAACAGGTGATAAAGCCGGTGCTGACCATTCCAAGAGATGGTGGGATTTTGTCTAAATGTTAATTTTCTTTATAATCTTTTAAAATTTGGTTTCATTTCCTCCAACTGTTTTGAGTGCGTAAGCTTCATGCTGTTTCACGGTAGATTTTTTTAAAGACCTAATTTGACCTCATCATTCATATGAGGAAATGAAACACAAAGAGGCTTAAAATGGCATATTTCAAATTCCTACTGTTCAGAGGCAGAGCTGGAACTGAAACCCCAATCCAGGGTTTTCTCCACCATTGCCAGCAGAGCCGCACCAGGTCTCGTCAGCTATTTTCAGACTTTCAGTTAGAAGATCAGGGAAAAGAACAGCATAGTTACTTCTGAAAAGCCTAAAGACTCCCCTCATTACTGCAGTCCTTTGTCTTTTGCCAAAGCACTTTCATGAGCGCCATCTCCAGAAGCTGCTACCATGCGCCTCCTCCACATCTTGCTCTTCTTGAACAAGAGCACTTTTGTTCTAGTTCCAAGAGTTTCTCTCACACTCTTCTCTAATAAAAACAGTCTGTGATGTTCAAATAATCCCAAATCCCAATCAAAAGTGATCACAACTAAATTGGAAACATACACTCTGAGTGCAGGAACACTATATTTATTAGGTCAACAATTCATTTTTAGCAATACAAGTACAGAATATATCACAATGCTGGTTACAAACATACTTAGTATGGTTTAACGGTTACAAACAATGGTGGGCACTACAAGTTTGTGATAAGGATGATATGAAAGGTCATTGTGACACAATGAAGAATTGTCTTAAAAAATCTATCAATGATCTTAGATATTTCTATAGAAATTACTGTGGCACTATTAGTGGGGATTTTCATGTAAAGAATTGTTAGTGATTTGCTTTTAATTGTTTCATTAAGAGCTTTCTGAGTCTATTAAACTAAAATCCCCTGTTGCTTAATAAAGTACAAAAATAGTACTGACTTGGTAATATTTAATAAAATGTAGCATTCATTCACATCATAAAAGTAGAACTAAATTGAAAAGTTTTAGTTACCATGGCAACATAGCTTCCCATAAAAGGAGTATATAGAAATGAGTCATGTTACACAAATGGTACCTGCAACAGTTATTTAGTGATCCAACACTTAACTTGTGCACCACAAACCAAGGTTTCTAGATATCTATATATATCATATATTTTTAATATTAAATTTTACTTTTGAAAAAAATGTGCACTTCAACAAACTCACTAAGGCCACTCATGCTATAGATACCTAGGATTGCAATTAAAGAACAGTTTTATTTAATAAATCCTAAAGCACACTTCTTCAGCTCACCAACAGGGTAAAACCAGTTTTCTGCCTAAAACATTCCTGAGATTTGTGGACAATACAACTACTAGGGTTCAAGCTGGAGATTAATCCAAATGTCAGATTTAAAAAAAAGAACTTCCTAGCAAGAACTGAGGTGCTTCAGTGCCAAGAGGTGAAATACATACATTAAGTTTTAAAGCAAAAATAAAACCCTTAAAAAAGTTTGTACGTATAAATAAGTATTTTTCCAGTAGTAACTTTGCCATTCAGAAAAAGAAGAGTTTGAAAGCAGCAAGGCTACAAACTCGGGGGAAAATATAAAAACCGAGCGGCAGTTAACAATACCTGCTACTTAGCAAGCCACACATTCGCTGTGTAGAGTACGGCCAAGACCTTCCACTGGGTTCGAGGAGTGGGTTTACTGCTCGGCACTGTGTTTGCACTACAACGAGCAGCCAAACGGCACTCCCTCATTTCTAAGATTCCAGCCTCTGTAGTTAAGTTTCACAATATTATGAACTCGTCCCAAACAGGCTAGGAACAAAGGTCTTTGTCAAATCTTTTATTTTCACCAATGAAAGCGTACCCACGCGGGCGTTAGCACAAAGCAAAGGTGAGTTCACTTCTCATCAAGCAGAGACAGAGCTTTGAGGGTAATAAGGGTCCTAATGCTTTGGGCAAAGTCAGCTTTGGGGACCCATAAAAATTATGGTCTAAAAACCCCAATCAGCTCTATTAAACTGAATGCAGGAGGGACTGACCACTCGTGTGGCACGTTAAGTGTCTGAGCTCCCTGATGCACCAACTTGAGTAGCACCAAACTTTAGGAAAAAGACTGGGTAAGAGAGAAGAAATGAAAGTCAGGGAAGGATGAGACCAAAGGCCCCTTATTTAACATTACTTTACTGAACTTCCGGAAAAATCTTTAAGTTGGTCTAGGCTTCCTTAAACACAATCCCAACAATATATGAAAAGTTTGTGCAAGCTATTGGTTATCGTGAGGTAAATTTTATTCTTTTCTTCCTTTGAGTTCTTGTTTAATCCCATAAATCATGGTGACATTCACCTCTCTAACTTACCCTAAACATCCCTACTAAAAGGGTAAATCCCATACTCAAAATTATTAGGGTCTTAGTCTTCATTAGAATCAGAAATAAGAGCACATTAAGTTACATCACTAACAGAAACTGGCAATCTCTTCTCAACCCAGAGTGTTTGCATTAAATCAAAGTGTATGGATTTACAGAAAACTACATTAAAGCAGTGGTAATAAGAGGAAAACTACCTATAAGGATGTTTTTTTAGAAAAACTGGCTGCCACTTAACGTTTCACCCTGTGATCCTAGGCTTCTCAGTATCATGTTGCTCCATCACTGAATGTGAGCTAAACTGAGTTCAAACTGCATTAGAGAGGATGAGGCCTTGAGTCATTTGCTTGATTTTATCCTAGGAAACACTAAATGTGCACAAAACTAAAAAATACAGATTGCTTAAAAGAAAAAAACTTCATATGAAAACATAAGTTTCAAAATATTTATTGAAAAACAATTTACCATGACATTCCTGTACCACAAACATACCACAGGACTCTAAATAACCAACAAAAGTATACAAAGCCTATCCTGAAAATATCTTTGGAGGTATTAAATATATAGGCCCACGAGGATAGAGCTGAGTAACTTAAAAATGTTAGTCCTTGGTCACACAGACTATTTGGTAATTAAATAAAGAGGTGCCTCTTGGCATTAGATTACAATTATCTGGAAGGGGGAGGTGCAGTTGCGCAAATGTACTCTTTTCAAAATTAAAAAGAGAATAATTCAATTTGAGGAATAAACCCAGGTTTCGAGAACACAAAGTTATAATCTTAGGATCTGGGCTTGCTTCATCTTTTTGGGTACCTCCCCCAGTCAATCCCTTCCTGGGAACTTAAAAACACTGGCTCATAACTAACAAGACTGCAAATAACAATCTTAAACAAGGTTATATTTGGGAAGTTCAAAAAAGTGATTAAAATCAAATTTATCTGAAATCTCCAATTAATTTTTCTGTATTCAATGTGGCAGACAGTTTAGATTCTTTTCCCCCTCCCCCCCCAATGCGCATGTTAAAAGAAAACCAAAATTCAACACACATCCACTCACCCACAGACTACTCCAAGCATCAGCCAGGAGCGACACCTCTAACAGCCAAGTCATGGACCCCTGAAAATAGGGGGGGAAACCCTGATTCTTAACTACAGAGGCACCAAATAGGCCACTATAATAAGAATTGAGGTAACAGCAAAAGACCTTTCTGTTTTCTTGGATTGCTACATGTCACAACTTTTCAAATTTGAATATTACCTCAACATTAAATAACCTGACTGGCTTAAAAAAAAATAAAAAATAAAAACCCAATGAACAGAAAGACAACTCAGTGAAATAGATCCATCATTCGGGGATCTTTCCCATCTGACTCTTGAATTTGAAATAAAATGATGTAGTTATACTATTATTTACCATAAAAATGAAGGATTTCTAAGAAGACTTGCTTATTTTTGGGCATTCATTTTTCCATTAATCCCCACAAAAACATATAGTAACCTAAAATTCCCATCCAGACATGAGCTATTTCACGACTCTTAGCTAATGCATTTGTTAATCGCGTTGATTATTAGGGTAACATTTAAAACAAGGGGGACAGCAGCAGCAGATATTTATAGACTTGCTTATGGCATTGCCATCTGTGTCCCTTGACTAAAGATATGCCACTGAAATTGCCAGATTTCTCTAGTTTGGTGTCTATGACATGAATATAATTTTTACATTATCACTTTTCATTATACATCTAAATGAAATCATTCTACTGATAAAAGTATATTCTGGGGCTAAAATAATAATCTAAAGCCTCTGGTCCAAATAACCCCTTTCTACATTAGGCTGGTCCTTTTTAGATCTTCCTGGTCCTGTTAGCAAATGCTATCAGAGCATCTTGCATTGTTGTACCAAACCCCCCCACCCCGCAAAAAAAAAAACCCAAAACAACCAAAGAGTTAAAATTGCTGGTCTACCAGCTTTTCTATTACTTACAGATCAACACTGGTCCAGTTCAGATGAGTCTGGCAGTCCTTCCCCGTAACAGAGCTCTGGCGTGCTTGCATCACTTCTCTGGGGAAGGGAGCCAAACCTAAGTCAGGATGTCCCTCTTCTACTAGTACTTGTGTTAACTTTTCCATACTGCATATAAAGATTTTCCCCATAAAATTTCTCTACAATACAGTATTGAATACCTTCACAAGGAAGAATTATATGTTAAAAAGTTGTTAAAATCATCCTTACATAATAAGAATGCAACTCTTTTAAACTCAAATAGTTTTATTTAGGGGTTCTTTTTCCTTCGGGCTTTCTGCAAAATGAATTATTTTTTAAAAAGAAAAAAAAGAAAGATTTCCTGGAGTTTGTTCTACTAGGTTGAAAATATGGGCCAGACTACTTAAACATGCGGGTACATGCTGAATATAACTGAATATATGCTTATTCCTACAGACACTCTGCAAGATAGGGATCACCCAAATAGGGTCAATGGACTGGACCAGTGTTTCAATGCAAATTCCAGCCCCCAAAAAACAACATGGTTTTGATTTCACAGTATGAATTCCCTGGAATCTGGGAAAAGGTAAATTAGTTAACTGAGGTCCTCCCTCAGCAGCTGGGTCCCTCGACATTCTGAGAAATGAGGAAGGACTGCACCACTTCTTCAGTGGACTGGGGGCTGGTGTTGACGTCTTCAAGAGCATCGGTCACTGAATACTGCCGATCTCGCAACCGGTTCCAGTTAGACAGAACATTGTGATATTCGAACACTTTCTCATAGTTTCCAATGGAGTTGTAAAGTTTAATGAGACCTCGGTAATCATATTCTAGTCCACTGTAGCCTTCACCAAAAAGTTTCTTCCCTGAAAATAAAAAAAAAAAGAAAAAGAAAGAAAACAAGCTCAAATAATGAAACAACAAACGATTTCTATAAGACAACACAGGTTCAGTTCTTTAAATAGGGTGGCTTGGTTTCATTCCCTTTAAAGAAAGAGATTTAATTCTTGTATCAGAACTCTCCAACCCAGTCCTACTTATAAGCTATCTCCAAGCCTTAAACAAAAATTTTCTCTTTTCTAAAGCAGTTGGCCTCACTGGAATAAAATTATAATGTTTCACAGATTTAAGGGACTGATTTGCAGAGATGTGAAACTAAAGGAGAATGACAGCATCAACAACGACAGAAAAAACATATGCACAAGGCTATCCACTGTAGCACTGTTTGTAACTGGAAAACACGAGAAACAAATTAAAGTAGAGGGGAATGGTTCAGTCTAACATGGTTCACACTCTCAATGGCATACCATAGAGCTGTACACAGAGGAGGAAGCTCTCAGCTCTCTATGAACCAACACAGTGATTTACATGGTATGTTTAGTTAAAAAAAAAAAAAAAGCAAAGTACAAAAAGTACCTATAGTATGCTATCTTTTATATAAGAAAGGGAAAATAAAATATTTATGTATCTTGAACATTTGTGCAAAAAGATACACAGAAACGATAAAATGAGAAACTATTGAGATTAGTTACCCTTGGGGGTGGGTGGGAAGTGAGTAGAAGAAATTAGGGGAAATCACAGCTGTGAGCATACCTTCCTAAATAGTTCTGACATTTAGAACAGTAATATTTTACATACTGAGAAAAAATTAACAAAGATGGGGGGAACGTCATACAAACATAAACAAATAAACCTAATTATCTTGCAAAGGAATAACTACACTGATGGGAAGGGGAGATGAGAGTAAATAACCCAAGTAAATTTCAAACACAGTATTCTGAGTATATACCTTCAGGCTAAAGACAAAGAAAACTGTAAACAAAGACTGAACTCTACATAGCACAGGTTTTCTTCGTAGTACTGTGGGTTAACAATCTAAAACTTATCTTTATTTTAGGATTAAGTCAAAATATCATGGATAACGGGGAATCCACATATACACGGATACATGATTTCTGACAAAGGTAGCAGAGCAGAGAGGAAAGAACGTTTTGAAAAAATGGTCCTAGGTCAACTGTATACTCATATAGAAAAAGAAAATCGTTCCCTATCTCACACCATAAACAAAAAATCAATTTCAGGTTTGTAGCTCAAGTTGTGAAGGGTAAAACAGTTTCCAGAAGGTAATCTTCTAAAAGAATATGAGTTTAGGGTAGGAAAAGAGTTCTTAAACAGAATACAAAAAATGCTAACCATAAAATAAAAAACAAATATATTTGATTACATTAAAATTATTAACTTCTGTTCTCTGAAAGGCACCATTAAGAAATGAATAGTAGGGTCTGGCCAAGTGGCGCAGTGGTTAAGTGCGCATGTTCTGCTTCAGCGGCCTGGGCGTCACCGGTACGGATCCCAGGTGCGGACATGGCACCGCTTGGCACGCCATGCTGTGGCAGGTGTCCCACATATAAAGTAGAGGAAGATGGGCACAGATGTTAGCTCAGGGCCAGTCTTCCTCAGCAAAAAGAGGAGGATTGGCGGCAGATGTTAGATCAGGGCTAATCTTACTCAAAAAAAAAAAAAGAAAAAGAAAAGAAATGAATAGTAGAGTGAGAGTTATCTGCAACACATATAACCAATAAAAGACTTGTTATATCGATAGTATACAAAGAACATCTATAAAACAATAAGGAAACAACGGACAATTCATTATAAAAATAGGGAAAAGGCTTTCGGGGTGTGTTTTATGTTTTGTTTTGTTTTGTTGGTCAGGAAGATTGTCCCTGAGCTAATATCTATGCTAATCTTCCTCCATTTTGTCTGTGGGATGCTGCCCAGGCTTGATAAGTGGTATGTAGGTCAGTGCCCAGGACCCAAACCTGTGAACCCCAAGCCGCCAAAGTGAAGCGTGAGAACTTAACCACTACACCACCAGGCTGGCCCCAAATGGGGAAGAGTCAATATTAGATGATGACTACAGTACCTTATTTTGTAATAGACCTGAACTGGAATCAATCCAACTATTTTGAATATCCACTAATAGAACAGATAAATAATGATATACTAATCCAATAAAATATTATATAGCACCAGAAATTAGCAAGCAACTGCGATATGTAACACCACACATGGATTTCACAACTGATGTTCACCAAAAGAAACCAGACATATAAAACATACATTGTACGATTCCATTTAATATCAAGTTTGAAAACAGGTAAACCTGACCTATGATGTTAAAGTCAGCAAAGGGAGGGAGAGGAGAATGGGTGTAGTAGTTACACAAATAGTTTACAATAACTACTTTTGCCTAATTTGACACACTACTTTCATCCTTCTTACCACTGGCTTTAATATCAATAAATCATCTTTCGTAAGATGTTCCAGATGAATTCTGGGTGGTTCCTGGATATCCTTAGCAGCAATTAACTCATTTAAGACTTAGTAATAACATTTCCCTTGTATAACATCTAAGATGTGTTGACCTCTAATCAATTGACTAAGAAAATCTTAAAATAACATACCAATTGCTATAGATCGCAAATAAAGTTTCTCAGCATTTTCATACTGATTCATGTCATAATTATATAAAGAAGCTAGATGTCCCACTGAAAGTGCTACTTCATAATCTTCTTGACCAAGAAGTTGCTCTTTAATCTGAATTGCTTTGATGTGCATTTCTTCAGCTTCCTGAAAAATAATTAAGCTACAGTAACCATCAGTTCATACTTTTCCTTATGTCAACAATTCTTACCCAATGAGCAAGATTCTTCTAAATGCCAGAGACATCTTATGGATGACGTAAGGTTATCAGATCTGAGAACTTAATATGTTATTCCAAAAGTTGCCTATGAGAAGCATTACTGGTTTTCAGAAGCTATGCACATAAGCTGACGTTGGTAATAGCGTCCTATACCAAAAATGAGAAGAGAAAACTTCTCCTGGTAACAAAAAATTGTTAGAAGAAATGAAATTAACATTAAAACATTCTAAAATGAAAACTAGCTTTTCAGTTAACAAACTCCAAAATTTAATTGAACGCTGTTAAGAAGCTTCATACTATAGTATGTTAATTACATAGGAGTACCATTTCATTTTTTTGAGTTTTGACAATGTTTATTCCAACAAACTAAACTCAGGTTAATTGAGGGATATGCAGATTGATTTTCAGGTAAAAATTAATGTCTTAGGCAGTGACTCTCACCCTTTCCTTATTGCAACCCTAAAACAGACAATATTAAGAATTTGTAACCCAAAATTCAAAAAGGGAACTAAACTCAGTAAATTTTTATAGCTACAATGAGTAATACTCAAAATATTTGACATTCCTTGTATACCTACTATATGATAGGCATTCTACTAAGCTCTGTAATTAATCCAGCTAAAAGCTATGTTTTAAGTCTACCTATAATAACTTCATTAGACTTTATGGTTTGAGACATTTCTTATTTTTTCAAGGTCTGAATTTTTGAATTTTATTTATATTTTGCCTATGTTGTTTTATATTAGCTATTTTTCAATTCTTTGGTGGAATAAGGTAGGAGTATAATAAATACATACTTTATTATTTAAGATTACTAAAGATGTATTATTTAAGATTTATTATTTAAGATTGTACTTTATTATCTAAGATTATTTAGAAAGAGAAAAATACAGTAAAACATGCTTCTACCTTAAATTTTCTCATTGACTGATAAAGTCTTCCAAGGTTTCCATAGTGTTTTGCAGTCTGTACATTAAATTCCCCAAAAGCTTTTTTAGCTAGTTGGAGTGAAGACAGGTGCAAATCATGAGCTTCTTGAAGCAGCCTCTGTTCAGTTTCTTTATTATGACAGTCAATTGCAATCTCCTCTAAAATAAGTGCTGAATAAGAAAGCAATAAAATTAGCATACTTCCAAGCCATCTATCAAAACTGACTAGAGAATATAATTTAAAATTAGACTATATAAATGTCTGTTATACATATTTATATGTGGTTATGGTTTAGAACTGGTAAAGATAAGTATTCTACTTTAATGAAAAAAATACACTTTTGGGGGTCATTCTATTTTGCATAGTGTAAAGAATTTCAAATTTAAGAAAAAAATGGTATACATCAAATTATTTTGCAGAAATTCTATTTTACTAGACTATTATACTTTGCTGATGTAAATTTCTTTTTTAAAAACAAATGAAAGAAAGAAAAGAAGGAGAAGACAAATTTTTTAAGTTACTAAACTATGTCAAGGAGTACCTAAGCATTGTTGAAAATTCTGAAATCATACTTTATAAAATATAACCTTTAACCAAATACAACTAAAAGAACTGGTTTCCTCCTACTCACTTAACCAACCAAACCAGGCCAGAAGACAGTTCAATTTCAAAGTCACATTCAAGACTTTCAAATTCGATTTAAAGTCTTAAAAATACACAGTCATGCATTGCTTAACGAGAGGGACATGTTCTGAGAAACACATTGTGACGCAATTTTGATGTGCAAATATCAGAGTATACTCACACAAACCTAGACGGTATAGCCTACTACACACCTAGACTATATGGTACGAATCTTATGGGACCACCATCATATATTCAAAATGTCATTACACAGCACATGACTGTATTCTTTTACCAGGTGATTTTATTTCTAGGAAAACTGCCCATGTGCACACAAGTAAAAGAGATTTTATTTTAGTTCACTGCGGCATTTTAAAACAACAAAAGGTTAAAAACACTATCAGCCCCAAAACAGAGGTGAAGTTAAAAACATTAGGGAAAAAAGGGACATATACTTACATGTATTGAAATGGAAAAACGTTCATAATATATCAAGCGAAAAAAGATTTTAAAACTAGAAAAATACACTCATTCATTTCATTGTTTGAAGAAAGAAAAGTCTAAAAGAAATATTCATCAAAACGTTGATTCTGGATTGGTGGGATTTGAGGTGAGAATTTATTTTTTTCTCTTTCCTAACTTTTAATTTTTGACATTCATTATGTATTACTAGTGTAACTTTAAAAATGCAAACCTAAAGGGAGGGTGAAAAAAACCCATTCCAGAATTAAGGTAAAACTTATCCAACATTCATGGAATTACCATATGGGTGACCCAAGCAATGTTAGCAAAATAAACGCCTTAAATAAAGGGGTCTTAGTAGTGATTAGAATAAAAGTTAAAATAAGAAAAGGGTATTTGGTAAAAGCTTTGCGACATTAAGGGTAACCTGATAAGAAGCCGAGTTTCAGAATTCTGCACTATAAAGCTGAAGGTATGTGAAAAACCCATCTTCAGCTTGCTACCCTGTTATTGTGCAAAAAGAATCATCTGTGATATTCTTCCATCCTCCTTTCGAAAGAAAAGGAAGGAAGACAGAGATAGACAGACAGAAAGAAAGAGATATGATTTATTAACATTACACGAGAGAAGCAAACAACCTTTTATTATGAACCACTGGAAATTCTTAAGTGGAGCTGCAGGTAAATACTTTAAACCAGTAAATTAGTTATCTTAGTAATATGTAGATACAGTCTAGTCCTATGCTATTACTCCCAAGGAAATAAACAAATACCCCTATTTTATACCATATATCATCAATTTAAAAATACCAGAGACTACACAACTAGTACAAGTGACAGCTGAAGAAATCTAATATATATATATATATATAAAGACTAGATTACAAAGGGTACCTTTCACCCTCTTTGAAGAAGCCAAAAGAAGATGATCTTCAGGTAGGATGTGGGTAATGATACCAATAGCTCTTTCTGCATGAAATCTGCAATACAGATAGATATGTTCTGGCATTTCTTTGTAGTTATAAAGGATCTAAGTATTTAAAACAAATCACAACTTATTATTTAATACCGATAGAATTTCTAAAACTATCTGGGGTAAATAAAGGATCAGTTTTTGTTTTAAATTTCCAATTTGTTGTGGACCAAACTTTTAACATCCAATGGATTCCCATTTTAGAATAAACTGTGAAGCTGTTTTTACAGCTTATAAGGCTCAACATGATCTCTCACTGGGCTACATCTCTGATGTCATCTCCTACCACTGTTGGAACCAACCCCTTCTTTCCTTTCCAGCCACACAGGCCTAGCAGTTTTCTGACCCTGCAAAGCAGGTTTCTAGGACTCCTGCTTTATCGTCTCTCTGGAAAGCTCTTCCCCTGAGTATCCACATGGCTCATTCCCTATTGAAAAGCCTTTCCAGATGAGCCTATAGAAAAGTCCCTAAAACTCTATCATCACTCTCTAAACCCTTAGCTTATGTTGTTACTCTTCACAGCACGTATTCTCACCTGACATGTTTGGTTATTTGTTTACAGCCCATCTGACCAAAGAGAAGGTAAGCAATTTGTCTATTTTATCTTCCAGTTCCTCTCAAACAACCCCAAGCCTTCTATTCCCATCTTCCAGGTAATCATTAATTTTCTCCGATCTGTCTTCCAATTCACTAACTATCTCTTTAGTTGTGTCTAATCTGCTGTTTAACTTGTCTACTGAGTCTTAATGTAAATGACTACTTTCCAATTCTAGCTATTATTTTATTTTTTATAACATCTCTTCAGATATTATTCATACCACACAATTCATCCATTTAAAGTGTACATTCAACGATTTTTAGCATATTCAGTTATGCACCCATCACTGCAATCAATTTCAAAATACTTTGATCACGCCCAAAAGAAATCCTATCCTCTAACCCCTGCTCCATCCACCCAGCCCTAGGAAACCACCAATTTACTTTCTGTCTCTGGATTTGCCTATTCTGGAGATTTCTTATAAATGGAATCATATACTATGTGGTCCTTTCTAACTGACTTCTTTCACTTAGCATAACGTTTTCAAAGTTTATCCATGTTGTAGCATGTATCAGTTGTTTTATTTTTAAATCTGCCTTTTTTCCTTTATTTTCCCTCTAAAACATTACTCATTCCTCCTTTTATATCAGAGTCAGCAATTTTTTTCTGTAAAGGCCCGACAGTAAATACTTTCAGTTGTGTGGGCCACACAATCTATCCCAACTACTCAACTCTCCTGTTGTAGCATGAAAGCAGCCACAGACAACACATGAGCGAATGAGCATTGCTATGTTCCAATAAAACTTTATTTTGCCTGTAGGCCATGGTGTGCCAATGTCATTTTATATCTTTAATTATTTAAGAATATATTTATTTTATAGCATCAACCAAAAAGTTCTGTTAACTACCATTCTTAGGGTTCTAACCTTGTTCATTATGTCTGCTGACTCTCATTCATAGAGAAATGTTTCCTTTCTTATTTTTAAATTTTTTTATGGTGAGTTCATCTCAGGTAGAGCTAGACCTATGGGAATTTTGTGTGGTTTGTGTTGAGGGTTAATTATTCCCAGAGTTTTGCATTTCCCCTGAAAGGCATGCCAGGAGAACTAGCAGTACCAAACTGCTTTTTAATGTTTTTCTCAGTTTGGGGGTTCCTGCATTTAAGATGCCCAAACACAGGGGTGGTGCCAAGTCTGTCATTATAAATTTCCCTCTGAGGCTCCTTTTTAGTTCAACTGAGAGCCCAATTTCTTTGTCATATCTCTTGCCAGTGGGCAGATTTTTTTCCCTAGTCTACCCTTTTCCCTGAGGGTGTAGCCTTGATCTTGGCTTCATGGGAGGGTTTCAATTCTAATTCACAGCTTCCTGTGGGCTAAATGTCTTGTCTCTTAAACCCAGGATTGTTGTTCAACCAAAGTTACAGAAAATTCTAAGCTTTCCTATCACTGAAGGGCAATTATACTATCAGTCATGCCTATTCTTTTGGATTTTAGTCTATTATTGGCCTTAGGGGATTTCCTCTCTCTCCTGCAAGCTCAGTTATGCATTTTAAAAAGACGGTTGTGGGGCCAGCCCCATGGTCTAAGTGGTTAAGTTTGGCATGCTCCACTTTGGTGGCCTGGGTTTGTTCCTGGGTGCAGACCTATACCACTTGTCAGTGGCCATGTTGTTGATGGCGAGCCACATACAAAATAGAGGAATACTAGCTGAGATGTTAGCTCAGGGCGAATCTTCCTCAGCAAAAAAACAAAAAAGAGGGCCCACCCTGTAGCCAAGTGGTTAAGTTCGTGAGCTCCGCTGCAGTGGCCCAGGGTTTCACTGGTTCGGATCCTGGGCACAGACACGGCACCACTCATCAGGCCATGCTGAGGCGGCATCCCACATGCCACAACTAGAAAGACCCACAACTAAAAATATATACAACTGTGTACCAGGGGGCTTTGGGGAGAAAAAAGAAAAATAAAATCTTTAAAACAAAAACAAAAAAGAAACAAACAAAAAGAGATGGTTGTTATATTTTATTCAGTATTTCTGTGTGTTGTGAGCAAGAGGTTTTTAGGTTAAGCCTGCCAATTAGCCAGAGTCTACTATATTACTCAAAGAAAAATTACTGAAGGAAATATTCAAAAGATAAATCATATTCTATATGAAGATATACAAGTTTTAATATTAAACCATATAAGACCTAAATGAATGGCTTATAAATTGGTATGATTTTATAAATTCAAGAACATTTTGGGAACCTTGTTAAAGCTCTAGGAAGACAAATTTAATTCATAATGTATATTAAATATTATTGTAATGGGAGAAACAAAGCAAAACAACAACAACAGCATTTAATCCCTCACTGAAAAGGAATGTGCAACTTACAGTGCATTGTCAAATTTCCCAGAGCTATACTGGTGAACGTAAGAGGAATAAGCCAAGTCTTCATGAGCTGTTGCTACATGGATATTTTTGCCACCAAATACTGACTGCCGAATGTCAAGGGCTGCCTGAAAAAGTCATGAAAATAATTGATAATACTGTAAATCCTTAGAAAACACTACCCAGTTACATTAAGCATCCTACTAACTTAAATATATATTCTATATACTCAATCCCATCAGTTTTGAAGGAAGAAAAGTCCTGCTGTATTTAAATCATAATAGAACGTAAGAGTCACCTGTAAGGCTGATTTTCTGAAGATTGAGTTTGACTTAAAAGGCAATGGTCTAACAATAAAATCATTCATATGTCTTGGGAATCACATCAGTGTCCTCTCTAGGTCCTTCTTCAGAAGTGAGCTATAAAGTGAAGGACACCTTGTCCAGAGCAAAGCCATAACATTCCATTCACCAGAGAATGACTATGATAGGCTTAAAATAATTGCTACCAACTCTCCTTGCTATACAAAGGCAGCTATAATGACTTCTGCTAAATCAACAACAAAGACAAGCCATCACCTGAACAAATCAAAAATGGAAAAGTACTGTTAAATTTGGGTCTACAACTCAATAACTCTTCTCCTGGATGATGCTCTTTAATTCCTAAAACATTAACTTTTAAATCTTCTAGGTATTATTTAGTAATATAACGGTGTGCCATATGTGAGGAGGGGCTAAGAAAGAATTATTTTTAGAGGATGGGTTATACACACCACACAAATACAGGTCAGTAAGTCAATTTAGGTTGAGAGAAAAAAAAGTCTAACTACAAACATACCTGATAAATTGCAACAGACTGACAGATATTGTCTACATTGAGTAAGTAGAACCCATAATCTAGCAGTGTATCAGAATATTTTGGGTGTTTGGATCCAAAATGATCTCTACAAAAAGATACAAAACTATTAGGATATAAAGTAGAGAGAGACAACTTGAAATGCTATTTTTAATAATAATCACCTACCGTGCCAAATACACTGCATGTTTAATTAACTGTTCTGCCTTCTTAAATTCACGTTTTACAACACAAGCCTACAGATAAAGTGAAAAATTGTTAAAAAACCCTCAAACAGTTAATTAGTGTGCTAAAATAAGTATAGTTTATCTATTCAGACTATAATGGTCAAAAAGAAAAAAAGCATCTTCAAACATTTCTCATTTCTTTCCTTCCAAATACTTGAAAATTCTATTATAAACAGATGTGTATGTATCCTGGGAAATTTTAAAATTTAAAATTGATAGTCATGCCCAATACAAATCTGCTATAACAAAGTCACCTTATGAAGCTGGTATATTCCCATCCTTCCATATTATTAAAATAAAACAGTTGGAGAGTTCACCATATTATCTTCTAAGATACTTATTTATATCCCAGTTCTAGAATGACTAACAACTATCTTGCAGTTTTCATCTAATAATTTTGAAAAACACTGAATTTCAAGTTTTCCTATTTCTGAAAATATTTTGATTCATAAGACTAGACAGTAGTTTTTAAGCTCTATCACTGAATACAGAAATATAAATCTTGAACATACATTAAGCTATCTTCATATTAAATGTATATCCAGTGTTTTAACTTAATTAAAAACATATTAATATCTCTCTTCTAGCTCTGATAACCTGAATACTTACTTGTTCTAAAATGCCTTATTTAATAAATTTCACAGAAACCTTAGACTCTTCTAAATCTGTAAGTTTAGAATCTTTCATCTAATTGAAATTTCCATAAATAAAACCAACCAAAACAGAATACCCAAAATTGAAAAATCTCTGGTCAGAAAGAGCATATCTGAAAAGTACATAAATGTTTTAAAGCCTCAGTGATACCAGAGCAGAAATTTTTAAATATTATTAAATGACCTCAAAGAGTTAATGCATTTATTTACAGAAGAAGAAGAAACCAGAGGAAAAATCAAGTAAGTATTGCCTAGCAGGTCAAGTACAGAAAGCTGTCATACTGTGAGACTGCAATACCACGGCTAAAAGATTGAATCCCAGACCATCCATTAGGAGAAAATTGACCAAATCCTCTACAACTGTTGCATAAGGGATTCAGGTTACTGTAAAGGTTTAAGAAAAACAAATTCAAGCCAGAATAGCACCAAAATCCAAAATACTACTTCTATCTGTACTTCAGTGAGCTGAATTATCAAAGTGAATGTTTTCACAGGTTTTCTGGGTATAGGAAAATTAGCTAAAGTCTACAGATTTCTAAAACCGAGCATAGACAGACCTTGTTAATTCATGGAGTATACAATACCTAATTTGTTAAATAAGAGGTTAACTAAGTTAAATTTAAAGCTTGCTAACTTCTATAATTCACTTAATAATTTTAACATTATATTCACCTTAGAAGCTTGTCTTAAAACATCCACCACAACTTTGACTGGTAAGCCTGCTGTAATTTCTTTCATTGCCTCAATGCACCATTTGTATGCCTAAAAAAATATTTATAGAAGAGCAAAAACGATAAATCAAATTGACAGTACTTAATGAAATGAAATGATTGTGAATTTTTCCTGCAAGCTTTCAAGTACCTGAATAAGAATACATGCAAAATATTTACACTACAACTTATCTCCAAGGCTAAGTTTTCTTGAAAGTATAATTTATTACATTTTTCTTTGAATATGTAAAAGATATTCAGGACATTAGAGGCATGCTCTCTCTTGCCCAGAAGTCTTTGCACATACTGTTCCCTCTGCCCTAGAATACATTCCTCCTTCCTCCAACTCATTAACCCACCTAGCTTGTCTTTCAGGTTTTGGCCCCACACTAGGCTTCCTGTACTTTGCTTCCTCTACTATAACAATTATTTTATATCTTAATCATTTTATATCTTACTTTGTGCCAGCTATTGTTCTAAGCACTTTATGGGCATTAACACATTTAATTGACACAAAAGCCTTATGAGAGGCGCTGGCACCGTGGCCGAGTGATTGGGTTCGTGCACTCCGCTTTCGGGGCCCAGGGTTTTGCCAGTTCGGACCCTGGGCGTGAACATGGCACCGCCTGTCAGGCCATGCTGAGGCGGCATCCCATATGCCACAACTAGAAGGACCCACAACTAAAATATACAACTATGTACTGGGGGGATTTGGGGAGAAGGAAAAAAAAAAAGCCCTATGAGATATGTATTATCACGGGAAACTGAGGTGCAGAAAGTTAAGTGCCAGGGAATGTGCTAGCATCTAGGGATGTAGTGGGGGACAAAACACAGAATATCCTTCCTCTCCTAGTGCTTGGCAGGAGAAAGAAAAAAAATCCAAACAAATTACTTTGGATAGTAAGAACTACTTCAAAGAAACAAAACAGTATTATGAAGGATCACAGGAAAGGGAGGAGGACAAATAAACAAACATTTGTTTTCCTCTGCAAGCTTCCTTCTCTTCCATTCCACCTAAAAGATGTAGGTATTCAGAAGCAATTTTGGTGCAAAAATGAAATGTATGTGATTTAAGCCAAAAAAATCTGGTTTGTTTGTAAGATACTAGATAAGCTGATTTTATTCCAGAGTAACAAGGTAAAATCTTTAGAATTGTGGTAGACTTTTATTGCTTTAAAGTATTTACTGCTCTTCCTTGGGGAAGGATAAACTTCTCTTCCACATTAAAGACGAGGGGTCACATGATTTCCTTCAGCCAGTTAAAACATGAACAGAAGTGAAATGTGCTATTTCTGGGACAAAGCTCTAAGAGCGAGCAGTCCTTTCCCAAGATGTGCCTGCCTCTGCTCCAAGGCTGGTAACGTTCTAGAGAGGCGGCTCCACCATATGAGGTTTGGAGCAAAGTGTAGACATAATGTCAGGCAGTCACAGACATCCCAAGACAGGTTGTAGTATAAGCAAGAAATAAACTTTCACTGGTCCAAGTCACTGCCATTTTGGGGTTGACGTTATCTCTGCATAGCCTAGCCTACTCTAGTATCAGAATATTATAATTCATCAAATCATATCCTCAAGATTTGTGTACTTTTCTGTAAATATCAAGGACAAATTTATTTATATTTAAAAGAATGAATTATCACAATTATCCAAGAAATATCTAGAGACTTAAATATTTCTCATGAACGTGCTGAGAGTTTTAAAGGCCACGAACAAGGCACAGTATAAATCCCCAATCCAAATTAGTCAACTAAATACTAACTGCCTAGTAAAGAATGTGGAAACTGGTAAGCAAAAGGCACTTTTGTCCCAATGAAGACACTGGTGGGTCTGGACATATTAAGAGGGGCCTGGAGCCGAGTATGGGAGTAAAGAATGGCAAGATATGAATCATTCTGTGTAACAGAAAGAAGACAGCAGAGTTTCAGAAGGGAGTATGAAAAGAAACGATGGAAGAGGAACCAGAGGTGACTAAGATGAGTTCTTCCACAGAGATAGAGAGATGGTGGGGCACCTGAAGAACTTTGAAGACAGGCTTTTCTAATACTCAAACTGTTGTTTACCTCACTCTCATTTCCAGGAAAGTTAGCTATCCAAACAAAGGCCTTCTGTGAATGGAGCTGTTTTTGGTATGTGAAAATCATAGAAAGGGTCTACGGTTTTCTGGGTTTTTTTTTAATTTTTAAGATTTTTAAAATTTTTCCTTTTTCTCCCCAAAGCCCCCCGGTGTACAGTTGTGTATTTTTAGTTGTGGGTCCTTCTAGTTGTGGCATGTGGGATGCTGCCTCAACATGGCCTGATGAGCGGTGCCATGTTTGCGCCCAGGATCCAAACAGGTGAAACCCTGGGCGGCCAAATCAGAGCACACGAACTTAACCACTCAGCCATGGGGCCAGCCCCGGGGCTATGTTTTTCATCTGGGTTGATAAGTGGTACAACAGTCATTGCACACAGCAGGCGGCAAAACAATCCATCAACAGAATTAATTTAGCGGACACAGGAATTCAGCATCAAAAATAACCAGAACATACACAAACCTCCTGAGAAACTGTAGGCATGCTGATAAGGGTTTTAGATATTTACACATGGGTTTGATGCCTTCTTATATATATGCTAAAAGCAGGATGAGTCTAGCATTGGGGTTGCACAATATCACTTCATAATTATTCTAGAATTTTCTAGTTCCATTTCTAATTGTAATTTTTCTTTAAACCTGGAATGAATATATATATATATATATGTATGTATATGCATATGTATTGATAGCAATGGGGCAAAAATCAAGATGGGGATAATTTTAAAATACAAAAGCTAAATGACAATTATCTGAGAACATGAAATTAATTATGATATTCTTCCATAAATAAAGCAATCAAGCAAAGGAGTTAAACATAAATAGATCACTTCTCAATTATGTCTTAATCAGCACCAAAGCACTAATTTAACAGTATAAAGCCAAGCGGGAAGCTGCTATCTTTTTCATCAGGCAGAGGAAGGAGCAAAACAATGCAGTAAGGTATAAATAAAATCTAGCTTCCCATTGAAATGAACACCTTCAAGTTATGCAAATTCACCCAGAGCTACACATCCAAGAAAAACCATCTATTAAAGGTTAACTTAACAGAGCATGTCCATCAAAATAACTCAGGCAGAGACACATTTGGTCAAATTAGAAACAAAAACAGGCCCTAAATCATACATGTATATGTATAAAATCCATCTCATAGAATACTCCTTTTGCCTGATTTTAAATATTCCCTTACGAATGTGTACTGCTTTAAGTAAATCTAATATGTGAAAATGACATCTATTAAGACAAATGTGAGATTATATGATTTATCCTATTTTATAGTTAATTACGGGACACAATGAAATGCACCTCAAAACACTCACCTCATCATAGTGGCTTTTCGCAAACAGGAGTGCACACAGTTCTCCATAGAGTGCAGCTTTGTTTGCTTGCTGGCCATGTTTTGAGAGTTTATCCATGTAGGTCTGAGCTAACTTAAATGTTTCTTCACCCAAATGATATTTGCAGTTTCCATTTCGCACATGAAGCAACCTGCAAAAGCACAAATAACATTTCTCTATTTTTGATATTTCCAGCATGGCAGACCTGATAACTTCTTACAGATCACTATGTAGCACCCAAATGAGTTAAGGTAAGGTATGTAGATGGAGGAAATGAGGCTGCATTGGAAAAGAACTGCCTGGTCCAAACTAGGATTGACCAATGCACATAACGAAGTAGACGATCTCCCTAGAAAGCTACCCACGATTAATCTTACACAACTCTGATGCCTTATCTTCTCTAAATATTCTGTATACTTTGTCCACTCAGCATGTGCTACATCTAACACTTAACCGTTTTTGTTCTAAATCCAAATGTAATGCAGTCTCATTATAAAAAATTTGGAAAACAATGAAGTAAAATAAAAATCAATGTGAAATACCATTACCTACCATTACTTTCCGTTCTTTTTTCTAGTATATTTGTGCAACACTTGATCAGTTACCACTCATTTCATGTTGCTTCATAAATGCTCATTTTTGCTTATCTTTCCCGTAAGATAAGTTCACTGAAAATAGTGGTCTGCTGTTTCTTTTATAACTTTTATCCTCTACGGTGGAAAAATACAGAGTTCTTTACACAAAGTTAACTGTAAAACCATGCTGACTATCTAATGATATGCAAAAGTAGTAAAATGCTTCAGGTCAGCCTGATGTCTAGATAGCAACAGACCATACATCTGTAGAGACCATACAAGACAGGAGAATAGTGTGAGGACTGGACATATATTTATGTATTTATTATAATAAATTAGAACATTATGTCCATGTATCACGCCAATACAATTTTCTGAAAATGCTCAGCCCTGAGAGGGAACAACGTATAAAAATCATTTAAAAGAAAACCAAGGGGCCAGCCCGGTGGTGCAGCGGTTAAGTGCACACGTTCCACCTCGGCGGCCTGGAGTTCACCAGTTCGGATTCTGGGTGCAGACATGACACCGCTTGGCAAGCCATGCTGTGGCAGGCGTCCCACATATAAAGTAGAGGAAGATGGGCACAGATGTTAGCTCAGGGCCAGTCTTCCTCAGAAAAAAGAGGAGGATTGGTGGCAGATGTTAGCTCAGGGCTAATCTTCCCCCCCAAAAAAATAAAGAAAACCAAGTATGGAGAGGTTAAGAAGTATTCTTGAGTATAAAAAAAAAATCAGATACTTACAGTTTATTTTTGGTATCTACACCAAAAGTACTAACATATCAGTGACCTAGGATTAGAAACACTGTAACAATCTTCTAATCTCTGTGATTCTTTGTAGTCAGGGAAAACAGAATACATTCAAATGAACCAAGACTATTCAATAAGGTGGCAAATATTATACAATGCCAGTGTGTATCCTCCCAACACTCTCTATACAGTTTTAGAAAAGACTAAAACCCTCAAGCAAAACAATAAACTAAGGTTAATAAAAATTTCTGAATGGAGTATCTTTCACAATAACAAATTCCAACTGAAAGCAGAAATAAATGCAATAATTTATCAGGCTACTCTAGAATGGTAAGTTGATTGGATTTACATTTTTAGGTAGAAAAACAAATGTTTTGGTACACAGACAACTTTTCATGCTACAGTTAAGTGTACTGAACCAGAATAAAGAGAATGTCACTTGACTGTCAAATTGCTGATCTAATGACCAAGTAGTTTGCAATGACCTCTGTCACAATGGAAACCATACATAGGAAAACAAAACTGAAATCTAGTAAAAGACTATAGTAAAAACAAACACAGTAGGTTAGATGATAAAGTTTTGGGACTCTCATTGTCAAGTACTGACTGAGCACCTATTACAGGCAGCACTTTTCCAGGGGCAAGGGATGTAGTGGTAAGAGAGAGAGAGAAAAACCCATGGCTGTAAGAAGCTTCATTCCAGCGGCAGGAAGTGTGTTAGGGTAGGCAAACACAGCAGTGAGGCAGACATTGAATAAATGCTATGAAGATGACAAAAATAGAGTAATATGATCAAGAGCTTCTTAAAGGAGGAGCTCAGGTAGACAGGGAAGAAATCTCTTAAGGGGGTAACATCTGAGTTGAGTTGACACTGAAATGATGAAGAGGCAATCGTGTGAAGATCTGGGGGGAAGCAAGTTCCAAACAGAAGAAAGAACAAATGCAAAGGCCCTGAGAAAGGGAAAAAAATTCTGGCATGATCAAAGAACAGGAAGAAGGCCATGTGTCTGGAATATTATGAATAAAGGATTTTGTAAAGAGAGATGAGAAAGCAGAGATAAGCAAGATTTTATAGGGCCTTGCTGGCCACAGTAACAAGTTCTGAATGCAAAAGTGAGTGAGATTATTTGACTTATGCTTAACAATGCTTCTAACAGAACTTCCTGAAATGTTCTATACCTCATCTGCCCAATTTTGCAGCCATTAGCCACAAACGGTTATTGAGCATCTGAAACGTGTCTAGCGTGTCCGAGGACTTATTTTTAATTTTTAACTTTAATTAATTTAAATTTAAATAGTCACATATGGTTAATGGCTACCATATTGAACAGTGCAACTCTAGAAATTGTTCTGGCTGCAGTGTGGAGAATGGATTATAGTAAAGCCAAGAGTGGAAGCAAGGAGGCAACGAGGACAGGAGCTACTACAACAGTCCAGAAAAAAAAATCCTTGAGAAAAAAAGGATTGGTATTAGAAATACAGATTTGATAGTTATCCAAATGGGTGAATGAAAAAAAACGTTAAACCCAGGAATAGGTTGTAAATTTAGAAAATGAAAAGAATAGTGTTGATCTCTCATTTCTACAATACTAAGAATTACTTTACAAACAAACTTCACTGTAGGTATTCCCCCTAAAAATAAGTTTCTAGAAATTATTTAATAACTGGCATACGAAGGAGGTAGCAAACTAAATTTTTATGCCAAAAAAGCACACGTTGCTATTTTCTCCAGTCTCTGCTATTGTCTATTGAAAGAAAAGGGCAAATTAAACATATGGAGACTCTTCAGAGTCTGTGTGTCCATCTGGACCGACAGTGAGCAGGATGTATGATCCAAGGACTTCTGGTCCACGTGAAGACCTAAGTTTGCCTCAACACAGCCTAAGGAAAAGGCAGGTCTTCGAGGCTCTCCAAGTGCGGCTCTACCATAGTATTCTATTTTTTTATTTTTTAAAAATAGATCTATTGTTTACAGCCATTCTAGTTCACTGTAAAACTGAGCAGAAGATACAGAGATTTCCCATATACCTCGTTCTACAGTATTTTACTTTATTGTTTTTAAAGATTTTTTCCTTTTCCTCCCAAATCCCCCCAGTACATAGTTGTATATTTCAGTTGTGGGTCCTTCTAGTTGTGGCATGTAGGACGCTGCCTCAGAATGGCTTGATGAGCAATGCCATGTCCGCGCCCAGGATCCAAACTGGCGGAACCCTGGGACGCCGAAGCAGAGCACACAAACCCAACCACTCGGCCACAGGGCCGGCCCCTGTAGTATTTTATTTTTATGATAACATAAAATCATATCTACTTAATCAATAGTTATTGTCAGAAACAATTACTATTTCATTGGTTAAACAATTCACTGTTTGAAATGGAAAACAAATTTAAAAGTTATTAGTTTATGAATATATTTACTATAAGTGTGAGCAAAATGACTAGTTAGAGCCTCACGAAAGAGACAGGACAAAAATAAAATACACTGGGGCCGGCCCCGTGGCTGAGTGGTTAACTTCGCGCACTCCGCTTCAGCGGCCCAGGGTTTCGCCAGTTCGAGTTCTGGGCACGGACATGGCACTGCTCATCAGGCCATGCTGAGGTGGCATCCAACATGCCACAAGTGGAAGTACCCACAACTAAAAATACACAACTATGTACCAGGGGGCTTTGGGGAGAAAAAAAGGATAAAAAAGTAAAATCTTAAAAAATACATATATACACACTAAAAGTAAACTTAAAGGAAGAGAATCTCTCGCCTGCTTACAAGTTTATTCTTCCAAAAACTATTTAAGAATTTTGGAAATAAATGACAGACTGAAAGAGGAAGATTGAATAATAAAATAACGGATAATGAAATAAAAGGAAAATGGATAACAAAAATAAAGACTATTAGGTGTTTTGGGGTTTTTTTTGGTGAGGAAGACTGCCCCTGAGCTAACAATAGTTGTTTTTTTTTCTATTGTGGTGAAATACATAACACAAGATTTGCCATATTAACCACTTTTTTAAAAAAGATTTTATTTTTCCTTTTTCTCCCCAAAGCACCCCCCCCCCCCGGTACATAGTTGTGTATTTTCAGTTGTGGGTCCTTCTAGTTGTGGCATGTGGGATGCTGCCTCAACATGGCCCGACGAGTGGTGCCATGTCCATGCCCAGGATCCCAACCAGAGAAACCCCAGGCTGCCGAAGTGAAGCGTGCAAACTCATGGAGCCGGCCCTGGTATTAACCGTTTTTAAGTATACAATTCAGTGGCATTATAAAGTCATACACCGCACAATGACATTTTGGTCGATGACAAACTGCATAAATGACAGTGGTCCCATAATACTAGTATCATATAGCCTAGATGTGTAGTAGGCTATACCATTTAGGTTCGTGTAAGTAGGCTATATGATGTTCACACAACGACGAAATCCCCTAACGACACATTTCTCAGAATGTATCCCTCTTGTTAATCGATGCACAAGTGTATTCACCACCCTGTTGTACAACCATCACCACTGTCCATTTCCAAAATTTTTCATCATCCCAAACAGAAACTCTGTAACAAACAATAGCTTCCAATTCTCCCCCTACAGTCCAGCTCCTAGTAACTTTCTTTTTTGTCCAAGGAAGATTCGCCCTGAGCTAACATCCATTGCCAATCTTTCTCCCTTTTTTCCTGCTTGAGGAAGATTAAGCCTGAGCTAACATTGTGCAAATCTTCCTCTATCTTGTATACGGGTCACCATCACAGCATGGCTGACGGGTGGTGTTTGCGATCCAAACGCAGGTGGCCAAGACGGAGCGAGCTGAACCTAACCACTACACTATGGGGCCAGCCCCTGGTA